TATTAAAAAATAAGATATATAATCGAACTCTGATGATTTTTCGCAGTATAACCATAGTAATTAACATATCACAACGGATTAGTAAGCTAAAGAGGCAATGGGCCGGCCATATAGCTCAAACAATCGATTGGGAAGAAAGGTTCTCGTGTCGTACCTAGTACCGCTAAGTGAATTGAAGGGCAGCCTCCATTTAGATGAAAGACGACCTCGTAAGAGATGCAGTACGTCGATGAATGCAGGTGCCTGAGGACTGTGCTTTGTGGAATTCCTTAGGGGAGGCTCATGTTTAATCGTGGACTTGTGAAGAGATGTAATGATGATGTTGATCTGATTATTTAATGTAACCGCGAGTCCGATTCCTTTGAGGAAAAAGTACCTGCATTTTTTAGCCGCATAAGTAGATGTTATTGTTATAGAAAACACACGTAGTAGAGCCACGCTCCAACACCGTATATTATCATCGTAGCGCAAATTAATTCCCTCATGGAACAATTTTACAACAAAGTACCAAAAAATATACAGGATAGATCTATCAAAATCTCAAAATATTTTATTAAGACAATATTGTTTATTAAGGGTTATTATACTACTACAGAGTAAGTACATGGTTGATTATAATTTAAGACATTATAACCCATGGGAATGCGGTGATTGCTACCATGCTGTTTCCAAATGTTCTCGTACTGTGACGGCACTTTATTATTATTAATAATTAATAATTAGTTTTTATATAAAGCTGTCTAAAATTATAAATTATAATAAAGTAGTTTTAATTAAAATTTGTTAAGTTTTTTAACCACGTTGATAAATTGTGTATCTTAAACACTCAAATTGCTCTTACTATTTTAAAATATTGTCTTGTTCTTGCATCTAGATTTATATACTTACTCCGTTTGAGTCCAGTCTGGAAATGTTCAGATATTTTTTATAAGATAAGAGTAACAAACAGTCCACCTGATTGTGAGTGGAAACTATGGCCCATAGAAATCTACGTTTATCGAAGATTAAGTATCAAAATGCAGATACGGTGTTACCCTGAGGACTAAAATGGAATGCCTCGTATTCAGTCAAAAGAGTCTCCGGATCTTTAAACTCACCATACGAAACACAGTAACATTAAGGTGCTATTTTACATTGGTTTTCTGTGATAATGGTATGTAACACAATCAAGTATTTCGTAAGTGTGTTTGTTACCACAATTTCGTGAAAAATGCTTTGTTATTTACTTTAATTTATTTCATTATTTCATTTTATTTACGAGAGCAATAAACATCTATTGAAACTATATTTCACATATAATTAGATTATTTTTATAATCTCCAATTTTCGTGTACTTTGTAAAGTACTTAGTTTTAAGTTACAAATATTTCCGTTCATCAGGTAAGCTGTCAATACTTATGATGGTTTTACGATATTATGATTTAGCTGTCTGAGCTTCGCACCTTATTTAGTCTGTTCATTCAATTGTCCTTTCAACTCTCCATCCACTTTGATGTCGCAAATCTCCGACACTGCTTTTGAGTCTCGAGAATTGAGTGCGGCAATTGAATACCCGGAAGTGACGCGGCCCTCTTTACGATTCATCTTTAAGGTCGACAACAATTTGTATTGAAAAAGAATTTAATGTCTTTAAGTCTGGAAAATGTTTTTGTGTTATAAACAGATGCTTATTCTACTTTAATAAAGACCCTTTCGAGGGATTTGCTAAATTTGTATTATTTTTGACGAAAGCAGCAGTGCTTGCACTACAATGCTCCGGTATAGAGCTGGTATCATTACATCTTGTGTGGCATCCCAGCTTAGTCTTCGTAGATGCCAACAAATCTGTAGTCTTTATTGTTTGAAGTTGGTCATAAGTGTCAATGGGCTGCAGTAGCCACTTAAAATTAAGTATACGTTAAGTTTGCTCGTCACTTTAATAAAAAATACACGGTAGTAAATATGATATCACAATATTTTATTATATATAACAAAAAGATATCCGCTGAATCAAAATTGTTTTTTTTTCGTGGTAGAGCCACGCTACAGCTTTATTATTGCTGTGATACGAATGGGTCGACACGTCCAATGAAGCATCATGCTCGCGCAGAGCACCAGCGTTAAATAGCAGCATAATGCTCCTATGTTTAGAATTTTGTATGGCGAGAACCTGGGACCCTTACTGGTAGCGAGGTATATAGTTGTAAGAGATGACAACGTATCTGCATTTTTAATTTCATCTAATGTAAATAAAGATGTAAACGCCCATATTTCCCACTACATTCACTTACTAGGTCGTCACTCAATCTAGTAGGGGGGACGCCTTAAAAGCAAACATAAGGGCCTAAAAACAATAAGAAAAATATAGATAAAAACTACTCTAATATATATATATATATATATATATATATATATATTAGAAGTAGTTTGTTATCTATATATATATATATATATATATATTAGAAGTAGTTTGTTATCTATATTTTTTCTCTCCATTATCGCGCCATTATATTTTTTTCATAGGATAGGATATCAAACGAGCACACAGTCCACCTAATGGTAAGTGGTTGCATTACCAGCATAGCAGCATTAAGCTACTATTTTGCGCTAAAATAATATACGAGATCACTCCCAAGCACAGTTATTTTATTTTATTCAAGAAAATTGTGTTTTAATGTATCATTTTATCACGTTAGGTTATGATATTTTACAGTGAGAAACTTTTTATTGTCACAGACATTGATTATTCCGAAAGAAAAGACTAAATATTTTATGTGAGTGTTGCCATTCAGAATAAGATGTTTTGCAATCGTTTGAAATACACATTCAGAATTTTAAAAAAATCGTGTGCTCTCGCTATTGTGTTCCAAAGTACCTCTATCACAGGAACAGAAACAAAAGGCTGCAGAAGTGCTTTTACGCGTCGAATTTATACATTTTCATAAATTTACGATCTAATCTACCTTAGTAGAGAGGTGTTGTGTGTGTGTGTGTGAGCAATATTTAATGGCAGTACACAGATTGCAATTTTTCAAGGCAAAAGTTTCGTTTTTACATAGAATAAAACGCTTTTCAACTCTGCACTGAAGTTTTCTAGCAAAAATCCTTCAACTTGACAAATAGTGGCTCGAATGGTGTGCGACACTAAAGAACCAGGTTCTTTAGTGTGGCTTGGTCTACCGACATTGCGATTCTATCGCTTCTTCCACAAGGCGGTGGCGGTGTAAGAGTATCCACTACCCCATATCATTATCGACAATAGTGTCTTGTTAGTGACAACTAAAAATAAAAATAAATAAATTCGGTGGCGAACCAAGCGTAGTAGCTATGGCAAATACCCACTATGATACTGTGTATAGGGAGGCCTATTTTCAGGAGTGGACTTTTAATAGGCTATAACGGATTCAGATACATTTCAGTCACCAAAATTACTATAGTTGTGGATGTAAATTCACCACCTGCAGTTTTCTTGAATTTTAACTATATAAAGACAGCTGTTTTTTTTCAGTGGAAACTGCAACGGGTTTTTAGAATCTATATAATTAAGCGACCTTGAAGAAAAGACTTTTCATGATTTATGAAGGCTGATAGCGCAAATAAAAATCTTCAGTTAGTGTTAGTGTTACGTTATTTTTTGTTGTTCATTGTATTCACATACTATCAAATTGGCCAAATGCTCGCTCAGTCTCCCTAATGCTAAAAATAAGAATTAAGAGAGTCACTCACCGGTTTACCATCGCAGAGTGACTCTCTTGATAAGCGAAATCTGTGTTTGTTTTCAAATTTGATTTAAATAGTGGTTTAAATCAAATTTGTTTTCAAATTTGATTTAAACCACTATTTTTAAGATTTAAGTAGTTGGTTTTGTTGGCGATTCGTTAGGTGGTGGAGTTTGGTACGGTGGAGATAGGAGGTGTGTAAAACTACCTGGTTCGATTCCTAACACTCAAACTCGGATAAATTCGTTATTTTATACGGACTACTCAATTAACTTTAATACCGTTACAGTCTATTAAATTCCACTGCTGAACATAGACCGCCCCATAGATTGCCTCATAGGGAAGAAATTTGCCATAGTTGCCACGATTGGTAAGCTTTTGGTGTCGATAGATGTATTCACTATATTTAGATGAAAATTTGCGCAAGTGTACGGCATTCACTGCTAACAACAAGATGTATCAAATGAAACATTGCTCAATAGGTCTTAAGGCATTTCCCAGTGTGTTCTCACGTTTAATGATTGTACTTTTGTTAGATATTAATTATAACCAGGCTTTTATTTACTTAGATGACTGCATAATTATCGGTAAATCCATGGTTGAGCGTAATAAAAATCTCACAACTATCTTAGAACGTTTAATTAACTACTTTTAGTTATTTTTAGTTCCCGATGTTTCGGATAAAATCCGTAAACATAGTTTTATTCAATGTGTAGTGTTCGCGTAAATTTAAGAAATCATTATATCTTAGAACAGTTACGAAAAGTTAAATTAAAAATTAAATCTTTTCAAATGTGACTTTTTACGCAAAGAAATTGTTTACTCATTTTATCATAGAGTGAGCGCGCGTACATCGCCGAGTTAACATCGTATTGTATTAACTCCGTGATGAATAACTATTTTTGCAGTTAATATTTATATTTATACTGTGTAAAAAGCAAATATCAATAGTTAGATGTTAGTTACTTAAAATTAAAGTAAAAAAAGCAAAGAAAGTGTAGTATGAACAAAGATTGAATTGCTTCGTAATTTTAATACTCAGTGCGGTGGACTTTGATACTGCATATTGTTCTGGTTCGTCTACAATTATTAAAACGCGTATGTTTTTCCTAATACCCACTTGTTGTTTGAACAAATTATAAAGTGTTTAGTATAAATAATTACTATCATTGTGTATATTAGTACAGTAAGATGAAATGCTCGGCATGTGAAAATTCTATTGAACGAAATGAACTATTGGGATGCATTTTATGTAAAGGAACCTATCATTATATGTGCCTTAATATTACATCTGCGAAATTTATGGGTAAATATCAAAAATTTAAAAGATCATGGAAATATCCCACTTACACCAACGATACGGAACGGCGATCCAGAAACGAGGACACACCGGTAAAAGTTAACTGTGGGGATTCATCACCATCTGATGTCATTAACATGTTTAGTGATAACATGCAAGTAAATGAACTGCCGCCGTCGGATTTTGAGCACCGTGGAGGTAAAAAACAAAATACTACTCTACTTTTTCTTTAGAAGAATTAGGTAAATTGCTTGACGATAAATTGGACACTAAGTCACAAAATACTCGTCACTCATTAGCTTCGGAAATTAAACAAGAATTTAATGAAGTTTTGATGAAGTTGGAAAGTGAGTTTTTGAAAATAACTGAATCCCTAACAGGAGAAATATGCGACTTAAAAAGAGAAATAAGTACACTTCGCGAAAAAGTTCAAACACTTGAGCAAGAAAACATATATGTACGTAAACAAGTAGAAAGTGAACAAAATAAGCCTTCAAATATTTCACGTATGGAGACCATTATAAAAGAATTAAAACAGGAAATAAATGACAAGGACCAGAAAGCGTTGTTCAATGACATTGAAATAATTGGAATACCTGAAGTTTCAGGTGAAACCCCATTGCATATAATGTCGACAGTTGCAAATAAGATGGGAGTTATCTTAAATGATCATGACAGTATTTGCGGAGCGTGTCGGTCGCCATTCGAGTAATCTACATCAAGAGGTGCAAACAGGGAATTAAAACCGTATAGAGGCACGTCCCCTAGTTGTGCGTTTAGCACGCCGCATCATTCGTGACACCCTACTGAAAAATGCACGTGTGCGCCGTACGCTCACCACTGTAGATCTAGGGTTACCTTATAAAGAAACAACCAAGTTTTATGTTAATGAGAGGCTCACGAAACCAAATCGTGTGCTATTTGCTAAAGCAAGTGAAATGGCCCGAAAATAAAAAATTCGTGTGGACAAAAGACGGTCGAGTTTATGTCAAAAGAGATCCTTTTAACGCTCCGGTACGCGTTATCTACTCGGAAGATGACTTTACGCGTATTTTTGGTGAGCCATATTCCAAAACAGTTAAATGATTATAAATTGATTTTTGTGGCCTTTGGGCTTCTAACGTTTTTGCTATTATTCGGTATGTTGTATATTAGTTTTAATGTCAATTACACTGTCAATGTCAACTTAGTTCTAGTACAGTCTGATTACATATATTATAACATTCTATTATTAATTAATATTCCGTTAACAGTCAAAATATCAAAAAAATATTCTTCTGTTAATATTAGGGATCTAATAATTGTGCCCTACTTTTTAAATTTTAATTCAATCTTCTCTCTATATTTTATGCTAAAATGTGGAAACAATTTTTAATAATGTTTATATGTGTTGTTTTTGTTTGGATGTCGGTCAGTACAAGTTATAACTTATTGTTGTTACTATTCGGTTTTTTGGGTGTTAGTTTTAATATTAGTTATTTTTACAATGTCAGTATAGATTTAGTACAGTTTGATTACAAATATTATTACACTTTATTATTTAATATTCTGATAACAGTAAAAAAATTCAAAAAATATTTTTCTTTTAATATTAGGGATCTCATTGTGCCCTACTTTTTTATTTTAATTCAGTCTTTTATCTACATTCTCCTAAACTGTTAAAATCCTTTTTAATATTGTTTATACGTGTTATTTTTATTTGGATGTTGGTCAGTACAGGTTATAATTTATTGTTGTTATTACTCGGTCTGTTGTATATTAGTTTTAATATTCGTTATACTTTTAATGTCAACTTAGTACTAGAACAGTTTGACTACAAATATTATTACATTTTATTAATTAATATTCTGATAACAGTAAAAATGCTAAAAAAATATTTTGCTGTTAATATTAGGGATCTCATTGTGTCCTACTTTTTTATTTTAATTCAATCTTTTGTCTACATTCTGCTAAACTGTTGAAATCCTTTTTAATATTGTTTATACGCGTTGTTTTTATTTCGATGTTGGTTAGTACAAGTTATAACTTATTGTGTTCTTACTTTTCCCTATATTTTTTATTTAATTTGTGTCAAAATTTAAGATATTACATTATATTATATAACAATGGCTACATATAAAAGTTTTAGAGTTGGTCTCTATAATGCTGGGTCAATAAGAAGCAAAATAGACGAGTTGCCTTACAACGTGACTCTGCTGACATTATGGCAATTAATGAAACATGGTTGCAGACAGGTGACGATGTAAGTGCCCCATTAGTTCCTGGATATAGCTTCCGTCATATTCCTCGATCGTGTAACATGTCAAGAACTAGGGGTGGAGGTGTAGGTTTCTCCATTAGACGAGGGGTAAGTGCTCGTTCCTGTCCACATATTAACACATTTACTGAAGTTGAGCAACAATGGATATCGGTAACCATAAACAGGACTAGAATATTAATTGGTGCAGCATATCGACCACAATGGGTCAATGTGGATAATTTTCTTGATTCTCTCACCGACACTTTAAGTTCACAATCTAACTTTGATTATTTTATATTATTAGGCGATATTAACATTAACATTTTGGATACTAATGACAGTAAATCTTTACGTCTTAAACAATTTCTGACCTATACTAATTCAAGTAACTGTATTTCAGAACCTACACACTTCACACGAGACAGTGCAACGTTAATTGATTTAGTTATCATGGATGCACGTGTTACAAATACACTTGTTAAACATACACCAGAATTAGGAGGGCACGCTTTTATTTTGGTTGATTTCCATTTTAAAAAACCTAAGATAGCACCAATACAACAAATTATAAGACCTATTAAAAGTATCAATATGCTTGCTTTTCTATCAGATCTCGTAGCTATAAATTGGGATACTATCATAGGGTTTAGCTGTGTCGATCAAATGGTATCTGAGTTTTCCAAAAAATTTTAGAATTATTTGATAAGCATGCTCCTGAAAAATTAGTAACGTTTAAAAAAGACAACTGCCATGGTTCACTAGTAATGTTCGGTACATGATGCAACTGCGTGACAGCGGAAATAATAAGTATCGACAAACAAAAGCTGAAAGTGATAAAACTCATTACAAATCTCTTAAAAGACTAGCTAATAGTTGTCTTAATACTGAGAAGAAAGCATATTTTGACTATCATAATAATCAGAACCTACATAAAGCAAACATTTTGTGGAAAAACTTGAAATCGGTTGCATTACCTTTATTTAAAAATTCTAACAATTTACCAGACCATTTTAATGATCCTGATAAAATTAACCACCACTTTCTTAATATTCTGGACATAAGCAATACTGGTTCGTCTTATGCCAAATTCTTTAAAAGTTCTAAATATAACTCAAACACATTAAAGTTAATGCCAGTCCATGAAAGTGTAGTTGCAAAAGTTATTATGGCTATCAAGTCGAACGCACAAGGGGTTGATCGAATTAGTATGGAAATGATACTTTTGACACTACCACAAACATTAAAGGTTATAACAGCAATAATTAATAGGTCTATCACAGAATCAAAACTCAGTGGAAAACCGCACTAATTCCTCCCGTACCAAAAAAAGAAAATGCAATTGATTTAAGCGACCTAAGGCCTATTGGCATTTTACCATATTTATCAAAAATATTGGAAAAAGTTGTACACTTTCAAATAGTATACTTTTGTGAACTAAATAAAATACTACCTAAGTTACAATCAGGGTTTTGGAAGAGTCATGAGACAGCTACAGTCCTTATAAATGTTGTAGATGACGTGCTGTCTTTTTCGGATTCTGGCAAAGGCACGATCCTTACTCTTTTAGATTTTTCAAAAGCATTCGATTCGACAAATACGGATTTGTTAATAGATAAACTATCATATTACGGTTTTGATAACGGGGCATTGGTGTGGTTTAAGAGTTATCTCAATAATCGTCTACAACAAGTTATAATTAACAGGAATGATGGCGAAAGCTATGTTTCCCAACTTCTTCCTGTCAATAAAGGTGTCCCTCAAGGATCTATTTTGGGCCCTTTGCTTTTTATCATTTATAGTTCCGATATAACAGCATGTCTTGAAAATTGCAAATACCATATTTATGCCGATGACCTACAGGTATATATTAGTGTAGATAGTAAAAATGTAAATACAGTGGTGAATAAGTTAAATGAGGATCTTCAACGCATTAGTTCTTGGTCACAAAATAACTCCATGCTCCTTAATCCAACAAAATCTAAGTTTATTATTATAGGTACTAAAAAGCAGGTAAAGGACATAACTTCTACTGATCGTAACGTACGTATTGATGGGAAAAACATTGAACGAGTTTTTGAAGTACGAAATCTTGGGGTTCGTATGGACAGTTATTTAAAGTTTGAAAATCATGTAATTAATGTCGTAAAAGGTTGTTTTTTCCGATTGAAAGTTTTATATTCAATCAGGCAGTTTATCACTGTAGATTTACGTGTTAAATTATGTGAAACCTTAGGTCTGTCTAAACTAAATTATTGTATAACTTTGTATGGACCTTGCCTATTTAAAAAATCAAAAAATTTAATTCAAAGGGTACAAAATGCTTACGCTCGTTACTGTTTTTACATCCCAAGACGAACACATGTTACACCGTACCTTAATGCCTCTAATTCCTCTATTTCTCTATATTATTCTTCTATATCTATCATAATAATCGCCTCTAATATGCTTAAAATGCAGGAACGTCTTCAATTATTTTATGCCTCCCTGCTATTTGGAGTGATAAAAACAAAGAAACCAGGATACCTATGTGAAAAACTTCAGTAGACACGAAATCAACATATGTACGGTATCCGAAAGTGTGCAAAAGTACTTTGCATACCTCAACATAGGACATCAGCATTTCGTGGTAGTTACAAATTTATGGCCACAAAATGTTGGAATGATCTTCCACCACCATTACGAGTCATAAACAAATAAGAACAGTTTTAAGAGAAAATACAAAGAGTATTTATTAAGTACGCAGAAAATGTCATAAATATAAAAAAAAATTCGGCAGGGGGCTGAATATATGCAATTATGTAACTTACATTTACTACCAATATTCTTTTTAATAACCATTACGTTGTTCTAGCATAATTATTATAATTAGTCTGAATAAATTTTAATTTAAAACACTATTGTAGCTCTTACTTTTAATACTATTATTTTTTTCATTATTTTGTTTATATTACGTTTATATTTTGTTTATATTATGTTTTATCTCTTGTACATGTATATTAATTATCAAATTATTAATAGAAATATTATGATAACTTGTACTGGTTAATTATATAGTTCTTGTACTGGCTGAATGAAAAATAAATTAATTAAAACTAAAAGCTATTTGTAATATAATCGGTGATGTACGCGTACTGTTATACTTTAGCTCACTAAGTAGGTATATGGGTGCTGACAGAATAACAGCGTTGTAGATCCTCTGCAACACATGCTGAGTCAGAACCCTTTCATTGTCCTTCTAAAAATATTATTTTTGAGTTTAACTTTTAAATATTTTATTACTTTTGGTCAATGAATAAATATTTTATTATTATTATTATTATATTATATATTTACTTAGGGCACATAATTACAGCAAATGGTATTTTTCCTGATGAAAGCAAAATAAAGGTATTGCAAAACTATCCGACCTCAGCAAATAGCGATGGAGTAAAACGTTTCGTCGCGTCTTACACCCTTGTCTTAATCAATTCTAC